CTCTTCCTGTGACGTGCTCTGACTCTCCTGTGAGCTGCTGTGGAGCTGCTTTCCTTCCCGATGAGTAGAAGCACACCTGCAGCTCCTCTTACCTCCTGGTGCAATGTGAGAGCTGGAGCTGAGTGGAGCTTCACGGAAAAACAATATGGGTCTTAAAACTACAAGGTGATCAGATGTTTTTAGAAAATGCTCTGCACCACTAACGTTAATATTTTCCTGTGTCCACAGAGCTGTAATGACATGGCATCTGCCAGTTCGAGCAGGTCTGGTGTTGGCCAGAGCTCCGAAAAGTCACAGTTGACCTTGAAAGGTAGGCAACCTCTTCTGCGTTATTCCAGCTTATGTATACTATGGGAGTCCAAGCCAAGGGTTGTGCTAAGAAGGTATGAGAGCACTGTACGAATCCCTCACAAATTTGCCCCAAAATACTGTGTAGTCTGCGAATGTGCAATTAAAATATATATTGCATCTTTTGTCTGTTGGTCTGATAATAAAATTCAGAACTTGCAGTTGCCAGAAGAGTTAGTCCTGTTGGTCACATTTTCTCTTAAGAAACACATCAGACTTTGGTCTTCTGCGGTATGGTTTCTTGCAAGTGAACTGATGTATACTGTAGCTCATCCTAAGGTAGAAAGAGAAAAGAAGAAACTTGGCGGAGGTAATCACTTCTTGCCGTTTTCAATTTCGACAGTAACCAAGGACCTTGACTAATCAAAGACTTGATGCTCTGCAGTATTCCTCATTGAGAAGCACACTTCACATTGTTATTGACTGTGAACTGTGAGGTGGTGACTACTGTGACTGGGTGCATTTACATTTGAAAATCAGAAGAAAAATTACCCAGTCATTGAAACATCTGGCATTATTGTTGATATTTCAAATAGCCTGCTTCTAGAGCAGCAATAGTTTTTCTTTAACTTGGCAAATAAAGTTGTGTGCAGTTTTCTAATTGAGGGCTTGCTAGTGTTATCAAAGGATGCATGGAACCTGTATGTTACAGCAGTACATGCAAATCTGGATCGCTGTACTGTTGCTTTTGTTTGCCAATATTGGTTTGTTCTTTTGTTTTGCTGCCCCTCCAATACACACAAAACTAGATTCAGAGTTTGTAATCAACTTCAGTCTGGTTTGTTTTCATGCAGTTGTATCCCATACTGTCGTGTCTACTAACCCAAGGGGATTACCGTCACCGGCTGGAAAAATGAGGCTGTCAAAACACACATTTCTTAAAAGAAGTGGAGTGATGTTAAATGTGGATGTTTTTTTTGTTATATTTTTTCCACAAATGAAATATGTCAGTGAAAACCAAAATAAACAAAATGGCTTCTATCTCTGAGAAATAAAATGTAAAATCTTATAGAAATTGATATCTTGAGATACAGTAAAAGCTAATTATTATGGATAATTCTTGATTTAGTGGAAGAATTAAAAGCCCAAACTGCCTCTGTGGGACTGTGGTACAGAGAACATCTGTCACAGCCTCTAAGAAGCAGATGCTTGATCAAGGATTCTCACCTTTAGTTCTACAAAGTGTCTATCAACAGGTTTTCCCTGTATCTTTAAGATCAAAATAGCTTTGCACTCAAATTAAAGTTTGATTGGACCAGTTTTAGCCCCTTTCTCCAAGCCAGACTTCAGAAATATCTAAAAAGGTAGAAACTGCTTTTCACAGCTATCTAGGATTGAAGACTAATCTTTCCTAAATGCTTATATGATTCTTACTGTTCCTTACTGGTATCTGTAAAGTCTGGTTCAGTCTCCAATAAAAATTCTGACTAAAGCTCAAATCAGGTGTGCTGTGTCAACATGAACCGGGTGTCTGGGTTCCTATTCTACCTGCTACAAAACAGTAAATCAAATGTACTGAATTGCCCCCGCTTAATTGTCATACTTATGTCCTTTTGACAAATTTCAAACAGACAAAGACTTGATAGGCTGGTCAGTCAGGACATTTAACATACATGATAGTTCTTTAAAAAAGCATAGATCTTAAATCCACAGTTTGTGCTTTTTAAGTGCATCCTAAAAAAGACAAAAGTTTTCAGTACAACCTGGGTAGTTCTCGTTATACTGTTGGACGCTGAAATACCGCTCCTGTGATCTGCGAATGGGCAGCATGAGCATTGTGAGAAAAATCGGGGAATGCAAGGCTGGTTAAACTGGTGGGGACAAGCAGGAATGCATGATGCCTCCTCTGTCATTCCTGTTTTAGAATTACACATGAGGAGAAAGTCAGTGTCTCCTAATGAAGATGTTAAGATCAGAGCAACTGAACTGATTTTTTTTCCCCGTCATGTACAAATTGATTTGGCAGTCATTTAATTAAATAACACAATGGGCTCAGAGTAAGTTCAAAGGGGTGTCATGGTCAGAAATGTAATGTTGAAGTGTTGCTAATCAAAAGGTGATCCCATGGAATCTTATTTTCCCTTCTGATTCTCAGTGTCTATAAAGCCCCAAGTGATGCAAACAACTACCACTAGATGGTGTGGTTTCTCTTTGTGCCTCATGCCTTCAGTGGAAACTGAGTACTGTTACCCCTCTATCAGCTTAAAATCTATTGCCCAGTACTTCAATTCAGGCTCTTGTACAAATCCTGCTGAAGAAGCACGAGAGCAGAATATATGTTAAACATTTGTTAGTGCATATTTACAAAACAAAAATGCTGAAATATCTAGCTTCTTGTCTAGTCTTGTCTTGTATTACAGCCTGCCGTGTGATGGAAGTCCTGCCGGTTTTCCTGCTGCATATGTGTGCTCATCATTATCAATACAGCAGCAGCACTGTCATAACTGCGTGTTACTGTTTTTGTCGGCGCCTGAAGAGTCAGAGTCACCGCCCTGGGTTAAAGTGTATCTGCTCAGATTGGTGTCTCTCTTCTCGAAGACAATAATAACCTATGGTTATATTGTTTGAAATGCAGGTAGCTATTAAGAGTGTGATTGTGATATAATCTTATGGTTATCCATATTGGACATAATAGTGTGTGTTGAAAAAGGAACAGTTGATCAGGTGTAACGCCAAAACTACCCAATCTCACTGTCTCTGCGACTCTTACACTGACTGTGTCTTCCTCTAATGCTTACCCTCTCTAGTACGCTCTCTCATTCTTTCACAGCGTTACATCCTGGTACACTGTGGCTGTTCTTTCTTCTGATAACAGGCTGGCTCTCCCTCCCTTTGCCTTCTCCACTAACTCCATCCTTCTCTCTCCTTCTTGCTGCAGTGCTGTCGGCGAAGCCCCAGTCGCCCAAGTCCCCGAGCCGCCACTCTCGCTTGAACTCCTTCGTGGAGGTGACGGCCGACGGGCTCTCCAGTGAGACCAAGAAGACGGGCAAACGCTGTGGACACCCGGAGCTGCAGTGGAACGAGGACCTCACTCTGTAAGTGCCTCCCCACGTGCCCATCGCCTCAGATGTGCCATTCTCCGGACCCCTGCAGTTCCTTTTTTTTTTATGTGCAGCGCGGGAGAAAACGATTGCAAGGCCCTTCTTGCAAGAAAAAATGAAGAAGCAAGGAAAAACGCCTCCATCTGGCATGTGGGTTGTCTGAAATTTAAGGGCTTCCAGTAATCAAAGCACAATTAAAATTAATTACAGAGGTTCAGGCGCAGGTCCTTCCAAGATTCTGTCTAGGATGGGAATGTCAAGTGAGTGTATTTTCCTCCATGGCTCTCAAGGAAAGGAGGGCTGAAGAATCAACCCAGATATCTGGAGATGATCTTTCTTCTCCTCGATTGGGAACAGGATTGTGCTTTGGCCTGGGGCAGAGTTGTCACTCAGTGTGTGTCTAACAGGTAAATCATATGTAGTACGTATAGAATTGTCTGCTGGTAAAATCAGGGCGTGTCACCATCAAGCAGCTTTTCCTCAGTATTAAGTCCTCAGTATATTCATCTTTCTTTTACTATCACCCCCCAGATGGACAGATGTATTTGCAGCATCTGATGTAAATAACACTAATCCAAATTAGGATGCAGTAAACATCAACATCTGCAGCATTCTACATGTAAACTGTTTTTTGGCAAAATATAATTTAATATGGATGCTCCCCAAACCTGCTGTCTATCACCACTTCTGTACTCCTTGTATACTAATGACTGTGTATCTAAATAAAAGCAAGTTTGCAGATGATACTGCCCTGGTGGGGCTAATAACAAAAAACAATGAATGTCTGTAGAGGAAGGAAGTCACTGTCAAACACTCTCTGGCACAATAAAAAGTAAAACCAAAAAGGTAATCTTTGATCTCAGACTTGACAAGACTGAATTACATCCTCTAGTGATGGATGATCAGATAGTGGAGATGGCAGATATCTTGAAGTTTCTTGGCACAACAATTTCCTCTACCTTGAAATGGGGGGCCACTGTACACCATAATGTGAAAAAAGCCCGCTATCTTCTCAGGCTGCTCAGAACGTTTGGTGCGTCTCAGGAAGCCATGGTCCCTTTTACGGGGTAGCAGTTGAGAGTGTGTTAACCTTTTCTGTTGTGGCCTGGTTTGGGAACAGGGCGTCTCAAGGAGAAAACAGCTGAATAGAGTGGTCCACACAGCTTTTAAAGTAACTGTCTGTGACTTTGCATCTGTTGTTTCAGTATATACAAGACTGTTACATCAGAAAATTATTTTGAGGCATATATTTAGTAGTAGTGACCACTCTCATCTAACATCTCCCTTATCTGAGCTTCTTTCCTTCTGTACAATACGGAACAGAGCGGTTTGGGAAGAGCACCTATCATCAGGCTATTTGGTCTTTTAACTCAACACTGACATAAAAATATGTAGTTTTAATTTTGCACAATTTTGATGATACACCAGAGAGATTGGGCTGTATTCTGTACTCAGTGAGTGGATTTTGTATCACTGTTATGTAGCATTTTATTGTATTTTGCATACAATAGGTGTATGTTATTTATGGCTTTTTTTTTCTTTTTCTTTGCTGTATCTGTTATTTTGAGGGTAACACAAAAAATGTCTAACAAGCTGGAGGTTTGGTTTGGCAGTATTTTAAACAAAGAGAATAAAAATCTTTCACAGGCAGTCAACGCTGTTCAGTGTAAGTTATTGCCTGTAGTTTGGAGACCACCGGTTCTGGTCTGGGCTAAGTCCTGTAAGCTCACAGGAGTTGGGGATTGCAATACAGTGCCTGCTGGGAGCTCCCTGCCGCTACCAGCACCAGTGGCAGGGCTTTCTTCGTTTGGTGTACACCACACTCAATTTGTTTGGCTGGTGATTTTATCAAACAACTTACATTTGCGCTCATTTGTGCAGCTGGGCACTTCACTGGATCAATTCAAGGACACAAGACCACTGTTTCACCTGGAATATAAACCCACATGTATCCCAGTTGACCAGTGCTCTGAAGGCAGCCAGGGTTTTTCCTTCAAGTGAGCGTATACCTGTCATTGATTTTGAAAAAAATGGCAGAAAGCTTTTTGCAGGACTAGATTCATATATAATTTACAAGTCCTTTGTGTGTGTTCTGTGTAAAATAGACTGAATGATAGTTATGTCTTTTTGGCAAAACATTGATTTCTCTTTCATACATTGTGTTGGGGATTTCTGGATCTATGTTTTCATAGCTGTCTAGACATAAAAGTAACACATCTGGATGTGGTGTTTTTGTTTTCCTGTGATACTGATGATTTTAATATTCCCATTAAAATTGTAAAATAACATGAATGCACAAACCATTTATGAATCTTGTTTGCATTAAATGCTGACCAGCGTAAAAAAGGTTTAGACAGAACTGTGATTTAGTTGTTTCGTAACCTCAGTTTGCATTTAGCTAATTCTTGTACCGCTCAATTTTTGTTTTTGCGATGTTTGGTAAATGGCAAATCTTGGAAGTAATCGAACAACCTTGCCGATTGTGCCGTGTACATTTCAGAGAACTTCTTCCCTGTACTGGGAGGAATATTTTATTTTGTATGGAAACTGGTGGGGCAAAAGAAAATTGAGACAAGAAGTTCAGAAACTATTAAGAGAACTAATTCAGGCACAAGTTATGAACCTCAGCCGCAGATAATGTCATGAAAGGCAAGTTGCGTGGGGAAGAAATAGCTCACTCTTTCACATTCCACCCTGATGCCAGTTTTCCATTTCTGTGAACGCTGCGCACGTTACTTGAGATTTCTAGCTCAAGTCTTTTCCTTCATAATGATGTCTATCAGGAAAATAACTCAGGGTTGTCACTGTTCAGAACTATGCTAGCACTGGATGGTAATTGTACAAGTTTGATCACTGCAATAAAAAAGGTTTCGTTTAAGCATCTTGAGATGTAGAAGAGGACTAATTTATACGTGTCCTGTGTGCTTAAGATAGAAATATTTAGTGATGAACACATTTTCCTACAGCTTGAAGTGTTGTAGTATGCTTAATCATTGTGTGGTTGCAATTGTGTCAGTTACGTGCTTGTAGTTAAATTGAGCTTATCCTCTTATTAAAGTATTTTAAAATACCAAGAGCTTGGGCTTTTAAGTGTTAGTAGAAGCAGGAAGTTGGCAAACTCAAAAAGTGTTGTAAAAGGGGGATTTTATTTAAGGCTGGGCAGTCAATAAAAATATTCATGTGAAATTGAAGAAGTCAGGAAAACTGTAACAAGAGTGCTTTTATTTAATGCCCAGCCTTAAATTTATGATGCCTGTTGAGTGTGCCAGCTACTTTCTTCTTCTTAAATAGCATGCCTGAAATATTTCTTTTCTTTGCTCAGATCTTGATGAGTTTTTACATTTGTGAGAGCACTGCACTAAATTTCGCGAGTGTACCCTGCCTTCAGTGCAGGGATGTTCACGTATTCTAGTAAATAGGGATGCCGATAGTGGGTTAACTGTGCTTCTGACTCCCTCGGCAGGAACGTGACGCCCCAGAGCCACCTGGATCTGAAGCTGTGGAGCTGTCACGCTCTGCGGAACGAGCTGCTGGGCATCGCCTCCATCGACGTCTACGACACACTCAAGAGCAACAATGGCAAGAGTGAGTGCGGTGCCGGCCCTGTGAGGGTCGCACGCTGTTGCAAACGCACTAGCACGCAAACAAGAGGTGCTCTCAGTGCCACAAACACACATGCACACACTCGGTGGGTAACATGCAGCCAGAGCCACAGGCACTCTGCTGCACTGACATGCTGACCACTGAGGTGCATCGGTCTACCACTGATACACCCTGACGCAGTACTGTTAACGTATGCGCAGTAATGACAATGCACAATCACACAGCAAAACACACTGACCAGCCCTGGCACAGTGTCACTGGGCTAGATGCTTGTTTATGTATTATACCTTTGGTAGGGTAGTTTGCATTCTCAGAAAAACCGAGAAAAGCTGCACACTCATTTGGCCACATTATTCGGAAACCCTGGTGACTGCTATATCGATAATCTGTGAGCTGCAAAAAAAAACATGCCCAGTTTAAGCTGGACAGACTGGGCATAATCTTGTCACATCCCATCCTTCTAGTACAGGGAACCTCCCTTCGTTGAGTCGAGAAGTGTCTGTTCTTCCACCCCCGCAAATGAAAGAAAACCTAGTCTCTTTCTCATTGTTCAGATCAGATTCTGTTTTCTAACAGGAGATTTCCATGCGATTCATTTCTCCATGATTAAAGTGGGAGGCTCTTGTGTGGAAGAAGTTTTATTTTATGAGGTGTGTAGAAGGGTGAAACATGAAGGCCGCAGTGACTATCCGGTACAGAAACACAGGCTAATGGGAGCCCTGGGAGTCTGGCAATTGACTACAGCCTGCAGATTGTTTGCAGCCTGTCAGCAGGACCCTGGGCTTCCACAACTGAAACCCCATTCACGCGCGTTTTAATTGGGTTGAAATTACTGGGGAAACTCGATCCGGGCGCAGTTAAAAAAAAAAAAACCCACCAGCCCAGCGAACAGAGGCCGATTCTATTTTGCCAGCTTAAAGGCATATTCTTTTTGCATAAAAACCCCTCTGTGGAGAGGGCGCTCCGTACGACAGTCAATAGACCTTTTGGGGAACAGGCCCGGGCTTCTGCGCGCGTGATTTATAACCCGCGCTGTTGAAAAGCCGGGCGGCGAAGCGAGGCTCCCGCGGCCGGCCGGAGCAGGCGGAGCTGTTGAAACCCACATCAGTAGCGTCCCTTCCTCTGTTTTGGGGGATTTTAAAAGAACGGGTCTTTTTCAAACGCAATTCCGAATTTTCTTTACACTGTACAGTTTTTGTTTCCTGGAAAAGAAAGCTGTCTGGATTTAAATGGTTTTTCCTCCTGTGTGCTATTTGTAAATGTTTTTAGTACGATTTAGGTTGGGCTTTTCCTTCGTTTAAATTAGCATGCGTTTCGCCAGTCTCTTTTGAGTTCTCAATAAATGGACCACCAGACAGTTCAGCAGTAAAGGTTTGATGAACCTGATCTGATGATTAGAAATGCTTAGCACTAAAATAAGCTATCACTAAAATAAGCTGTCAGTGCAGCTTGAATCTGGGCCTTGTGCAGGGCCTGATGCAGAAGTTCATTGACAAGACGCTACTCCTAGTAAAAAGCAATAAGGTAGTGTTACGTACAAATCCTATATGAAGCAGTGACTCACCTGTAAGGAGTGGGTTGTTAAAGAAAAATTGCTAAGAAGATGTAAGTTATTTAATCCCATTTGTTTGAACATGTATTCCTTGCCTTTAGAGGTCGAAATACACCCAGAGCTTGTTAAGAGCTCTGTTACGAAAAAGCTAATTTGGGATTCAAAGTTGAAAAATGGAAAACAAGAGCTCAAGACCCTTTGACTAGCCTCTGTGTTAGATGCAAGACATCAAATGATTCCCAGAATTTGGCTGCTGTAGGGTTTGGCAGACACAAAATAGGCTAGGTAGCAGATGGAGGAAAGTTTCATTTGGTCTGTCAACCTCTGCAACTGAATCTTTTTCTCCTCCTGTGACTTTGCATGTTCAGCCATAATTGCCTGTGTAGTATTAAACATAGCTTCACCTGTGCCTAGTTTACAGAGTATTCCACGAATATCAACAGCAAATCTAACATCTGCTGACAGGTCTTGGTGGCAGGCTTTGGAAGTACAAGAGCAGATCCCTCAGATGTTTTCCTCCCTACTTCACCAACCCTGAAAAAGGATGATGCACACAATGACTGGCCATTCCCAGCATAAACACTCTGGTTCTAAAAACTGAGAGGAGAGCAAAGGCTTTAGTTCTTATCCCTTTCCACTTTACTTACTAGCTTGTGTGCAAGTCATTCCCTGCTGGCAGAGGGAGACCCGAGACCATTCGTATGTTTTCAGACAGTCTCATCCTGCCAGAATTTCACAAAGTGCTGAAACTGTGGTCATACATGTATCAGATATTACCAGCTGCAGTCCTCAGTATGTGTTGAGTTTCTACACCGTTCTACACATGACCGTTCTCAGCATTAAAATGTCCTGCTGTGGCTTTAACAGAGCTTTGCACAATCTGGAACAGTTTCTTCTTTTTGTTTTCAGGTACCTGCTAATGGCATAACAGAATAAACTAAAGGTCCTTGGTGCTCACAGCAAGTATGTGGGTATCTATTGTATTGAAGATATGCCACCCACTTAGTAGGTGTTAGTTGGCAGAGGTGTATTCCTATTCCCACTCCGGTGAGCCTGTCTTCACCAGGCAGCTGGGCTCAAATGCGGTTCAGATGTCAACGAAAATATTTACTCTCTCCCACTTCAAGCCTCCAGTGAGGCTGAAAAAGCCTGTCCTGTGAACCCGGACAAAAAAGCCAATTATTCAGAAAGACTGATAATTGCAGCCGTGCTGAGGATAGCAGTGCAGTACCTTAAGGCTTTATGGTTCTCTCACCCACCTCTGTAAAATGATTACTTGTGTTTTGTTTGCATTTCTTAAATTGGCTTCTGTACTGTTTTTGTCTTCCGAAGTGCAGTTGTGATTTATTTATTATCCGCTTTTATCTGACA